ATATATATTCCAGTGAAGTGTTAAAACCACAGATAATCCTAGCTTAGCAAGTTAAATATAAAAGTTTATTTTTATTAATTGATGTGTTTTCATCATATATATACTGCTATCATGATCAGTCAGCTTTATAATCGGAGTCAATTAGTTAACTATCAACTATGAATGATTCACTAATAAAATGGAAGAGGACATTGGGTTGAGTTCACTGCACCACCCAATTAAGTCTAATTCTACCTATTCCAATGATTAATTTATCTATTTGAGACGTTCTCCAAAATCTATTTTTATATTGCTGGTGAATATTTAATGTTGTGATTATTCTCACTTTGTAGTCCACTGTTTGTTCCCAAAAGTCCTCTTAACAATAGTAATAATATTAGCTCTATTCTAGGCAAAAATTTTACACAATATACAGAATTTATTGCAAAATAATTTTTCTTCACCAAGAATCCTCAAGCAAAATAGTGACTAACAGCATATTATGTGATGTAATACTGTTTAATCTGAAAGCGTAGTTTAATTCCTCATGATGTTCTCTCTTCATCTCTGAGAAATGCACATCGGTAGACAGCCAATTAGAAGTTTGCGTAAGACCATTTTACGACTCAAGGACACAACTGAGTGGTTAAAACAATAAGAGTTGGAAAAAATATACTATATTGTGCTGCAATGAAAATCAGTGATCGATGCAAAGCGCCAGTTATAACCTGGTAGTGTTTATTTTAGTGGAACTTCTAACGATTTTCAGCGATCTTCCGCTTACGCCAGTAAATATGCTAACATCTACTTTTCTAACAGCTTCAAACACTCTGTTCAGTGTTGGCTTTGCTACCGATATGCTAATATGTTGTTGTCAAAAGTAACCGAGATTACCCGTAATCTGTGTAGAATTTTATTTATTGTAATGTACTAACTGGATGCAATACTGTAGTAAAATGCTGAGAATTTCATTCTGTATCACAAGTACTTTTTTGGAATAAAGCAAATTATTATTATTATCATCTAATTTTCATTGATATTTACAGACTACACCTTCATAACATATAAGTAAACAATAAGCAACACAAATTCTTTACCTGTATGTACTTGGTAATGTATGTGTTGAGGTTAGAAAGTGCATCTACTAAATCAACTATTAAGAGAAAAATATTACATTTTGTTCTGATTTTCGATTACAGCTTGATTCCACACTGTATTTTAGGTACAAGTATGGTATTTAATTGGTGGATGGTGACTGGCAGTGGAAACCAGGATGCGCATTTCGTCCTATTCGGGACTCGTCAGCTGGATGTACCTGCATTTCTCAGCGAGTGATGATGTTCCCACCGAGGCTCGAACCCAGTGCCCATAGTTCCAAACGCCAAAGCATTATCCACTAGACCACTTGGGCCACGAGAGCCACCTCTTGTGCAACGGGTTGTATTCATTATTTCATTGAATTTTTGATTTTCCCGTCGATTGATTGGACCTGAGACTGAGCACTTCGGTCCAATCAGTCGACTAAAAAATCAAATATTCAATGAAACAAGTATGGAATTTTCAGCATGGATATCGGTAGCCCAAATTTTGCAGGCCGACCATAGATATCAGGTGTGGGTCGGCAGGGGATCGAACCTCGGACCATGTTCATGGTCGGCGAGAGTCCTAACCACTGTGCCACCGACACACAGTTAAATAACAGCACATTGTGAAGTCTGTCAGTAATTTCACACAGAAAATAAATCATGGATATCATGCTATCAAAAATATATTAAAACGTTAAGAGTTAGAGAATATATGAGGTGTTCTGTTGGATGCGAATTCACTGAGTGAGTAGTGCCATTATATTTACTACAACAGTGCGTTAATAAGACTAATCCACGTGCCCATATTATATTAAGTGATTTTACATGTGTTTCTCGAATAACTGTCAATGTATTACTGAACGTTGGTTTACGTTTGTTATATATATCCATTGTGCCGTCACCTACTTTTATATTCACCTCATTCTCTTCGAAAGTTGATTTCGTGAACAATTCATCTTTCCAAGTCTTCACCTGTGCTTCTTAATACAACGTTCGCCTTTGGCCGTGTACAGTGTTTAGCACGTTGTAGGACGTGAAAAAGGGGATGTACTATAGTATTATAATCAATCATACTTAGTTCCCAATAAGTGATCAGTCATCACCACTTTGTTTGTATACTTGTAAATTTAACTCTACTACTAACACAATATTACAAAAGCAAACGTGTCTTTTGATTTTGTCTTGTCACATAATAGAAAAATACAGTGCCTGGTGTATAAGTTATCCTAAGAACGTCATAAGACTTTCATGTACTGTATATTTATCAACTCCGAGTTCACAATATGTTCTTCTTTTAATCGGATAAAACTGGTTATCAAAAGCTGCTAAAAGAGACAGCAATTTCATTATTAATTGTTACACCAGAAGTTTGAGAATTCTAAGGTTGTCATTATTCAAAAAGGCGCCAGATTATCAAAGCACACTGCGGAGTATAAGATTTTATTATTTAGGATAGTGGTTCGTATGGCAAGGTTTTATTCAATCCTTACCCTAGCATTAATATACCACTATTATTGATTCAGTTGTTTGTCAAATTTATCACCATGGACAATATGTGATGTCCACATTTTACCGATGTTATACATACCGTAAAACAGGCTGTTCAACATTTTCCTGGATCACTTTAACATGCAGTCATATTATTCTTGAAATGCTGTGCCCTTAATTGACTGTGATGCACTAAAATTCTGTCATGCCACTTAACGAGAATTAGTCACCCATTACACCTATTAAATATGATTATCTTTGGGACTACTGATGATGATTTCAATTATTTTCCAGCATAATTACGTTCAAGTTATCATCTTTTCTTGCTGTCATATTGGATCGAATAATAAAACTTAAAAGTTGATTGGTTATCAAGGGTCTTGCATTTAAAGTGAACTAATTTAATTTGTCGGACAGCAGCGAAGGAAATACCAGTGCAAACCTCTGAAGGAGATCAAATGATGTTTATATACTTCATCTAACCATCAATCACAATAATAAGTCCCTAAAGCAGCCAACTTTGGTGATCATGTGATATATATAAGGGGGTGTTCTAGTCATTCTTAGGTAGAAGTTGTATCTCAAGTAAACACGTTCCATAAATCGTTTTATCAATTAGATTCATCATATGATGAGATCATTCTGAAAAGTAGTTAACATTAAAAAAGATCTGCCACTAAAACACGCCGTATTGATAATTACTTTTAGCTAATATTAAAATTTCAACAGAATAACTGCACACCAACAACTAATTTTGTTTGCATGGAGGATTTAATCATGAGCTGATATCAGTTAGAGAACCACTGGAAAACCTGGGAGTACTGGACAGCTGTTTCGTCCTAGTTTGGGACTCTTCATCAGTACGCACCCACCGGGATTCGAACCCAGGACCTTCTGGTTACAAGGCGAGCTCGTAGACCATTGAGCCACTGGGACCCGATCCAATGGTCCTTAAATTCTAACTTCTGCCAATTCACGACATAGGACGAAACAGCTGTCCAGTCCAGTACTGCCAGGTTTTCCAGTGGTTCTCTAACTGATGTCAGCTCATGATTAAATCCTCCATACAATCAAACCAAATCCCTACATAACCAATACTTGAAAACTAATTTTGTATTAGAGGATTAAATTAAATAACATGAAAGACCAATTTGTCAAGCAGCACTCAACAATGATGAAAAGCAGACGATCTGAGGAAAAGTAGAAGGTTAACACAGCAGTATAAACTTATTATGACGTTAGAAACGCATAAATTGAGTAGACGTGGATGATTGGATAGACGTGTGCTTAAATATTCATTTCTTTATATTTTGGATGACAGCAAATCCGAAGAAAACACCCTGCTGTACTGAGAAGTTATTCGAAGCAAATGGAGAGTAAGTAATACATGAAATTTAAGGTGTTAGCTTCATTCACATGAAATTAACTAAGTGTTATTCACAGCACGTAAAAACTGACGAACAATGAATGACACGTTGAAAGGTCAGTGTGTTATTCCTTTGACTAAACAGAAAGCAAACGATAAATAATTCCCATTACAGAAGGAATCATTGCAGTAATATTGAAAGTTTCAACACATCATTGGATGCCATAATATAATGAAAACAAAACACGTAGATCAGCGAAGAGGCTATTTTCGGTGAATTCATTTTCTTAGATGTACAATCGCAAATACGTATGTGTTTTTTTGTATGTATGTGTACTCAACCACTTCAACTGTCATGGTAACAACTTTTTTTTGTTGTGATTTGAGTTTTTTGATTTTGATGACTTAATTTAGTTTCTTTGCCTGTTCTTTAATTGCTTAGAATTCTTGTATTCAATCAGAACTCTTACGTAATTTCGTATTATCTACTTCGTTTCTATGTGCATCCTGAGTAAAACTCACTCATCGAACTATTCATATTATTACATGACTTCTTTTAACAACTGTTTATGACAACTCATCACCTTTGATACTACCCTAATTTCATTAAAACCTAATTTTCTTGACTTATATTACCAATCTTCACCTGTTTAGTTGAAATAACCTTAATCAATTGTAATATGGTTTGACAAACTTAATGTACACATACATACAAAATAACACAAATATATTTGCGATTGTACAGCTAAGAAAATAAATTCGCCGAAAAGAGACTCTTCGCTGATCTACGTGTCTTGTTTTCATTAATGCCATAATATAACAGTGTTACCAAAAACATTAAAACAAAGTTCATAATTCTGACGGTTTATGTACAAGAAGAGTCAACTACATAGGCATACATTTTGCACATAAACATGATATATAACTTATTAACAGGAAATGATGCAATATCGCTGTCGGCATTCTCAGGTGATGAACGTAAAAGAACTATTCAAACACCCCACCTAAACTATTATTTACATACTCATAGGATCTAACAACTTTGCCATGTATTACTTCTAGATAAGATATAGAAATGTACCGGTTCTGAAGTTAACTGAGCATATGATTCGACTTATATTCAATAACATAAAGAACAAAGATTCTCACCAGTAAACATTTTAATCACAATGTCAGTTCAAAGTAATACACAATACAATTATAAAATGAAGACATCTCAAAATATGTATAAGTCATCTGAAAAGTGGATAAATTGACGTCCAAAATTAAAAAAAAATAGCACAGTAGAAAAATAGTACAAGAAACAGATGAGAAACACACCACTATGTACACAAAGTAATCTAAAAGAAAATATAAAGCAGAAGGACAAAGATAATCATAATAATAAGAGTAATAATAGTAATGATAATTTAGTGACAATAAAATTTTAAAGCTGTTGTATGTAAAATCCAACTTTTTCATATACTCTCTTACAACCAGAAACAGAGAAAAATTTACTCCCCTCTGGAGCCCATTCAAGTTCATCCAAGACGAATTGTACCATATCTTCAGAAAATGTTACATTACGCTTTTTGGCAACATCCTTTATACAATCTCTTACATGAGTGGGTTGTAAAGGCAAGAATGGTACAACAGCTGTGATAAGATGTTTTGTAATCAATTCAGAGTATTGAAGTCCACCTGCATTTTAAAAAAAACACGGAAGAAATAATAAAAAGCGTATAATAGTGCAGTGGAGGTGATTGCAGCATTGTATAATGTGCAAATATGAAACTTATACTTCACATATATAACCAACGACTGACTGACTGACTGGATTCAACGTAGAACTCTGGCACAGATGTGCACTACTTCGAGTTCCCACACTCCACACAAAGGAAGGGAAGAGATTAAAAGGAGTATCAAAATAGAAGTATGAGGGAAAAGGAATAGTAATATGGAAGAACAATAGAGTTTTATTGGATATAATAAATCACAAATGCGTCTGCACCATTGAGAGCGATTTTCAGCTATATCACCAGTTGTCTCCAGCCTTTATTGGTTCTTACCCATTCCAAGGACCCCAATCAGGTAGTCTACACCCCTCTATGTGGTTTAAACTAACTGTTGTGGATTTCACTGGCTGATGCCAAGTTGTGGTTTGACCACCATTAGCTTTTCTCCAACCTGATCTTATATCATCTAACACCGTCGAGGACGACGATACAGTAACCAATGTAGAAGTTGAATACTTCGGTAAAAGTGATCAACCACTTTATGCAAGTTGGTCATTAAATGTCCTTAACACAGTATGAAAAAGATATCTTATATATTCTGCGAGGTTTTTTTTCTACAAAAGTCAGATCAAATATAGTACTCATTTCTCAGACTAAAATCCACTACCGGCTTTCTTCAACCGTCCACAACACCAAGTACGGAAACACAAACATATCCACACAAATTTTAATAGCCAAAAAATTAGAAGTTTATCAGGTTAATAATGGAAAGTCAATTCTCAACAATCAAAACTCATTGAAATTTGACTTAACCTTAGTATCAAAGACATTAAACAAACCAATAGTAAAATGGCTAGGAGAAAACTCGGGAAGAATCAATCAGAAGTCAAGCAACCGAAACTCTTGTTGATAGATCAATGAGAAAGAAAAGAATGCATATTATGCTGAACGCTTCCTACTTCTGCCTTCCCAGCAATAATAATATTGATGAACGCACATATTGAATAGATTAGCTACATCTTAAGAAGGGAAGTGAAAATGACACCTAAAAACCTCGTAAAATAAAGATCACACTCGGACAGAGATGAAACTGTTTGGGTAAATTACTGATAGATAAATAATCTCATATTCATGAATATCACACGAAATGATTTTGTGAATAACTAATACTCGCTTCTGCTTGGCATTACTTCTCCATAGTCTTTCTATCTCCCTATATATATATATATATATATATATATATATATATATATATGCCATTGGAAAAACCCGTATTCACAGTATTTAGTTACCGTATAATCGATATGAAAATACATATAATTACAATTTGAAATATTTCCTATAAATGTTATACAAACTGTTAGCATACAAATAAAACATATAAGCTTCATACATACTACCCTAAAATGTAAGTAGCACTGCATCCTTCCTTTGAACCACAACCAGAGATGTTTTTCTTGTGCACCAGTCTGTGGGTTAGCATCTAACTGAGATATCATACAATACAGTTAATAAAACTTCTACTTGAGCTAAATACTAGTCTACACTTACCGTATATATCAAACTAAAACGGTGGAATAAGTGTGCAGTGTGGCTCTTACCTCTTCAAAGTTCAACTATAAAACACCTCGTTTCACTGGTTATCAAAAACACTTGTTCAATAACCTGACAGTTAAAATAATCTTTCCATCCTAAAAACCCAGCCATTCAGTTGATGAGATGAACCACAAACGAGCAGAGCCGTTGTCCCTTTAACAGGCCTCCTCTATATAGGTAGACTGACAAGACTAGGTTGTGTGAATAATACAAAAGTACCTATATCACCTAGCAGTATAATTAGTCACCGGTAAATTAATGTACGGTAATCCAAATTTCAAACTGAAATTATACGGACAGTAAAAATGTCCTTTAGTAACAGAAAAATTCTAAAGGTGATACACAGAACTGAAAAATATTAAGTAATAATTGCAGATTGATTTAAATTACACGCTTAGTCTAGACAATGAAAGAACAAAAATTTACAACACCAATATTTGTGCAGATGTCCGTCTGTCTGGATTCAACATAGAACTTGGAACCGAAGTGCAGCAGTTCCAGTTGCCACGTTCCAAATTGCACACAGAGGTAGACAAGAAGATGAGTGAAGAGAATCAATAGAGTTTGACAAGTATAAGAGTGAAACAGAATGGGTAACGGTAGAAAGGAATATGAAAGATTACAGGGACTGAATACATCTGCGCCATTGACAATGATTTTGAGCCATGTCACCTATTGTCTCCAGCCATTGATTGATTCCTAGAGTCCCGAGGGCCCCAACCCGGAAGTCTGTATCTCCCTACCTGACTCAGTTTAACTGTCAAGGATTTCATGGATTAGTGCCATGTCATGGTTTTGTTTGGCCACCACTTACTCTTTTCCAACCTGGACCTATATCAGCTAGTAATGCCCGTCGTCGGGGGAGGCGATGGTTGGGCAGCAGGTGATGGATGTCTTGGTGGGCAGTATGAAAAAACATTGATTTCAAAAAAGTGTAGTAGATTAAATGCCATCAAAGTGATAAATCCACCTGTCTAAGAGAAATAGAATCAGGATGGATCTTGAGGACAGTAGTAAATAACGTGGAATATTTTCTGCTACAAATATGATTCTACTAACTATTTAGAAATGATATATAGAATTAAGCAACATAAATATTTCAAACCTTCATTATTAAATGCTGATTTGGCCAAAACACGATCGATATCCGTATAACGCAGATCTTCTCGTTTCTTTCCACTAACTAAATGTTCATAGGTACGCCGATTGATATAATTGCCACCAGCATTACTGATGTAGGGAAAGAAAGTTAAAAATTATTACGGTTGTTTGGGAGCAAAGGAGATAAATATAAAAGTTATTTAAAACCTCACTCAAAGTAGAATGAATGTTAAAATGATATAAACACCATTGATTTCTACATTAGGGATGATATACCTGAGCATTCGACTTTTAGCTAGTTGGTCTTCCATTCAAATGGGATAATAAGTCATCAAACATTAAATATGGTTGACAGTCCAATAAGTAAACATTTTACACATTACATTATTGTCACGAGAGAAAAAAAGACAAGCAGGTAAAACAATATGAGGTGTGAAGAAAAAAAATATTGAAACCATGGTTTAGGAACAAAGAATATTCATCCCCATAACTTATCCATGCAACAGCAGAACTTAGTCTGTCTGTCTGTTTTCGACATAGAACTTTGCACAAATGTGCGGAAGTTCAAGTCGCCACATTCCGTGTAGCACGCGAAGCAAGAGAAGAAAGTACAAGAAAAGCATAATAGAAACAGTGAGCAGAGGTGTGAGACAAAGGAGTAATAAAGAAATACAAAACAATTTCATTGAAGATCATAAGTCACAGGGAGTGGATGCATCTGCGCCACTGAGAACGATTTTGAGCCATGTCACCAATTGTTTCCAACCATAGATTTTTGCCGTCCCGAGGACCCCAGCCTGGAAGTCTACACCTTCCTACGTGGCTAAGACCAACTGTTGTGGATTTCATTGACTGATGCCAAGTTTTTGTTTGACCGCCGCTAGCTTTTTTCCAGCCTGACCCTATATCCGCTAACATAGCTCGTCGAGGGAGGCGATGACGTAAGCTTACTTGGTAGAATACAGTACTAATAACCGGACCCCATTCGGAGTACAACTTATTGCTTATTATTATTATTCCCTTGGGTTCCTAGTAGAACATAGGGCTTCAACTTCACGTCTCCACTTGCTTCTGTCTTCCTTCTGCTGTGCTTTTCACCTGCATCCATGTTAGTTCATACTCTTTCAACTTCTCTTCACATGACCTCCTCCACGTCACCCTTGGACGTCCCACTCGCCTCTTCCCTTTCGGGTTCCACTCGAGCAATGGCCTGACGCGCGATGTCACCCAGCGGTCTTCTCAGCGAGTGTCCGATCCATCTCCACTTTCTCCTGCATATTTGTTGGTTGATTGGTTTTTGTTCTGTTTGTTCGCATAATTCCTTGTTGGTGATTCTTTCCGGCCCGGCCATCTGATCTTCAGTATAGAGCGAAGACAGTTGTTAATAAAGGTCTGTAACCTGTTGAAAATATTCTTTGTGACCCTCCAAGTTACAGCTCCGTATAGAAGAAGTGACTTTACGTTTGTATTGAAAATCCTACCGAATTTTGTTGTTGATGCTGAGTGACAGCGGAAGATTTCCAGATTGATTTCAGGTTGATGAATGTGTTTCTCGCCTTCCCGATTCTCTCTCGATTTCACATCCTCGTCCGTTCCGACTTCCTGTAGTTGAGACAATGCTCCCTAGATAAGTGAATGAAGTCACCTCTTTCAAATCCTCGCGTTGATGGTGATTGGGGATGGATGTTGCTGTTGCTGTTATTGTTGGTTGGTTATTTTCATCACCTCCGTTTTGTCTATGTTCACTTGGAGTCATGTCATCGCCGGCTGCTTCTTCGACCAGTTTGTCGGTTTTCGCTTGTAAGTCTTCGATTTTGTGTGACATCAAGCATAAATCATCCACGCGCGAAATCCAGGTCTTCTAGGTTCTTCGCGTCGGTCCAGGATATCCCTGTCTTCTCGTTTCGCACTGTCTGACGACGCATAATCCAGTCCACCACGATTAGAAATATCATTGGTGATAGTAAGCATCATTGTCTGACTTCTGTGTCTACTCCAAACACCTCGCTGAGTTTTCCGTTGTGGATCACTTGATATGTGCCTTATAATTACATTATAATGCTTATAATTACACTAATGTATTCACATTACCTCTGAACTCGTTATATATAGCTTCACTTCCTCTTGTTTTTCGTTATGATTTTTGATATATTCGAGATAGACCCAATTAAGAAAAGCAATATAATTTGAAAAATACTATGTAATGACTACTGGGTCAATAACATAGGTCAAACTAGTAGATTCGGGTCAGTTAGATTATCGGAACATAGAAAACTAGAATGACTGATACCTTAAAAGCTTGGGCATTGCACTGCATTTACTTGCATGTAATCACACAACGATATGGTGGGACAGGGTGAAGGTATCAAAAAATAATACACTTAGATGGAAAGAAAGGTTAGTCAATGAATCTTTGTTTACTGGATCAACACCGAACATGTGCAACCGAAATGACAATGAAGATATATAAAATCGCAACAAACAATAAGGGAGAGTGAGGAAAACTATCTAAAGCAAATTATGAAGCCGTGTGAATACATTTATATGATTATGAGCATCAAATTGTGCTCGAAATAACATTCAGTTGTTATTAATGTATCCCTAAGTGTTAAGTCAATACGGAGCTAACGTTGAATGCTCCTATCTGAAGTTGGCGATGTGGCTTTAAGAGGCTTTCGGGGGTCACAGAGTGAAGATGACTCAATAGCCTGAAGAATACAACTGGCTGTAGTAGGGAAGTAAGATGAAGGTGATGTGGGTAAAGAAGAATGATGCTCTGGAAAGCTTCGTGTATTTTGGAAATGTGTGGGCGATCGTTACTTCCCGGCTGCCCCCACCGTGGAAGTTGATTGATTCTTCGGGTACCTGGAACAGAAAGAGAATTAGTGTTGCGTGACTACAGAGCCCAGGGGACAACTGCTTTAGAAGTTCAATTAACAGCTTAACGAAAATAAAAGCCATGGCCTCTTACTCCCGACCGAAAGCTGCTACCTTGACGTGGTGGTCGGGCTTGAACACCGCAATGACCTAATCAAGCTATACTGGCTGAGACTTATGTCTCTTGAGGTTCTACCATGCCAGGCAGGTTGTTTGGATAGCGGTTAAACAAAAAGCAGCTACCCATCCAATACCATGATTCAAACAAATTCACAAAATTTCATGCCGGATCGGCCGTGGCCCGGATTAACAACGACCGCGCTTCCTGCTGCCGTGTCACAGGGCAGGAGTGATAAGTATGCTACTGAGGCACACCAAACAATAAAGAACAAACAAAAACAGGCCGCGTGTGACCGGCCTCAAGCAGTTGTCCCCTGGGCTCTGCGGTCACGCAACCAACTTCCACGGTGTGGGCAGCCGGGAAGTAACAATCGCCCTCACAATCCGAAATGCACACAAAACCTCTCTAATCCTCACTTATCTTTGTCTTCATCTTCATCTCTATTACCTTGCCTTCCTCCCACTGATGCAACTCCTCTACTTGATGGCTCCTCACTCCCTCTTCACTCTGTGTCCACTAAAAACGACGAAAGCCAAAAAACCACCGATAGTCTCCTAAAGCCACGCCACCAATTTCATATAGGAGCATTTAATGTTAGGACACTTTGCCAAATAGGACAACAAGCATCACTAGCTAAGACCCTGGCATCCCGAGCCATTGATGTATGTTGTGTTTCAGAAACACGCATACAAGACCCAAGTGTGGTTATTCACCTAACCCCACCTGGCCAACAGGATGAATCTTCAAAATTCACCTTGAGGGTGTCAGGAGATGCCACAGCTAGTTCACGAGGATTAGCTGGCGTAGGGATAGCTTTGAGTACTAGGGCAGAAAAGACATTACTTGACTGGATCCCGGTAGATAGCCGAATGTGTGCTGTCCGTCTGAACGGATCAGTAAGAAGGAGAAAGGACTGCACTACTCGCCGATGCCTTTTCGTAATCTCCGCCTACGCCCCCACTGACTGCAGTTCGGATGAAACGAAGGATGAGTTCTACCAAAAGCTGTCTAGTTTGGTGAGAAAGGCTAAACGCTCAGATATAGTCGTTCTAGCTGGTGACTTTAATGCTCAAGTAGGGAAATTGTGTCAATCTGAGAAGGATGTCGGTGGCACCTATGGAGTTCCGTGCCAGCGAACCGACAACGGTGACCGTCTCCTACAGTTCTGTTCAGATAATCATTTGTTTCTTGTAAGCACTAACTTTAAACACAAGGAGAGACACTGTTTAACCTGGCGACCCCCATCATCAAACCAACGCTGGACACAAATAGACCACATAGCAATAAGCTATCGTTGGCGTGGGTCGGTAGGAGATTGTCGCTCCTTCTGGAACACGTGTGTAGATACCGATCACGCACTGGTCCGGGCTCGTGTGTGCTTACGACTGAACGGACGTAGGAAACAGCTGGCGGTAAAACCATCACGTCCCCAGCTCGATCAGGAAACTAAATCCCTATTTGAGGAAGAACTAGCTAAACGCATATCTGAGTTCGACAGCTGTGCTCACCCTGGAGAAGCCTGGAAGAATATTCAGTCAGCCATAGATACAGCTGTAAAAGCTGTGAATAAGGCAAATCCAAAGGTGAGTAAAAACCACTGGATTTCGACTGCCTCATCCGAACTGATAGATGCTAGAAGACTTATTCCGGCGAGCTCCGAATTCAATGAGGAGCGAAAGCTGCACAAAAGGAAACTTACTAAAAGTCTCCGCAAGGACCGTGAACAGTGGTGGCTGACAAAGGCGAAAGAGATGGAAAAAGCATCGGCGATAGGCAACACTAGGCAACTCTTTAGACTCATCAGGGAAACGGGTGGGAGAAGGCAAATCATAAGTGAGACTATTTCTGAGAAAAATGGCTCCTTAATTAGCTCTCAGGATAGACGCCTTGAACGCTGGAAAGAACACTTTGAGGGACAATTTAACTTGCCTACAGCCACACTGAACCTCCCCGACATCCAGCACACACCCGAATGGGATATAGACACTGGTCCGCCGTCTGTAAGTGAGGTCACAAAAGCTATCAGTAATTTGAAACGAGGCAAAGCGGCAGGACCCGACGGAATTATTCCGGAGGTGTTTAAATATGGGGGTGACATACTAGTTTGTAGATTAACTGAGGTACTAGGCAAAGTCTGGGAATCAGAGACAGTTCCATCAGACTGGGGTAAGTCACTTATTATACCGATATTCAAGAAGGGAAACAAGTCCTCGTGTGATAATCATAGGGGGATCAGCCTAACGAACATAGTCTCTAAAATCCTAGGCTCAGTAATCATGCATAGACTAAGCAGAACTCGGGAGGAACAGACGAGGGAAAATCAAGCAGGCTTTAGACCAGGTAGAGGGTGCATAGATCATATCTTCACTCTTCGACAGATTCTAGAACATAGACACACTTTTCGGCGTCCAACAATTGTCATATTTCTTGACTTGAAGGCGGCCTTCGACTCCGTGGATCGAAAGGTACTATGGCAATGTCTGACTGTGAAGGGAGTGCCAAGAAAGTACATTGCACTAATCAAGGCACTCTATTCAAACTCACGTAGTCGTGTAAGGGCTTATGGGGAATTGTCATCTGAATTGGTAACAACCAGTGGTGTCCGACAGGGATGTCCACTTTCCCCATTTCTGTTTAACTTCATCATAGATATGCTAATGGAAGTATCCTTAACTGAACGTAACGACTTAGGAATCGACTTGTTACCAGGGAATAGTCTTATGGACTTAGAATATGCAGATGACATAGTCCTGTTAGGGGAGGATGCTGACAAAATGCAGAGTCTTCTGAACACCTTGAGCAGCAATCTTCGTATGTTTGGCATGCGATTCGCCCCTGCAAAATGTAAGATGCTGCTACAGGACTGGACTACGTCAACTCCTAACTTAGTGATAGGGAGTGAAGTGATAGAACATGTTGACCACTTCACCTATTGGGGAAGTTGTATTAGCACCAACGGACTGATTGGCGATGAAATCTCAGCACGGATCCGAAAAGCTCGAGCTGCTTTCGCTGACTTACACCATCTCTGGCGTAGGCGTGACATCCGGTTATCAACCAAGGGACGTGTGTACTGCTCATCAGTTCGCTCCGTCCTTCTCTATGGCTCTGAAACATGGCCAATACGCGTTGAAGACATGAAAAGGTTGACTGCTTTCGATCATAGATGTCTGCGATCTCTGTCTCACGTTAGGTGGTTTAATAAGGTAAGTAATGTTGACGTTAGGCGTAGAGTGTTGGGCAAAGAGGGAAAATCAATCGACGAGGCTATAAAGTTACATAGACTAAGATGGCTAGGTCACGTGGTGCGCATGCCTAACCATCGCCTCCCCCGACGGGCATTACTAGCTGATATAGGTCCAGGTTGGAAAAGAGCCAGTGGTGGCCAAACAAAAACATGGCATCACCAATCCATGAAATCCTTGACAGTTAAACTGAGTCAGGTAGGGAGATGCAGACTTCCGGGTTGGGGCCCTCGGGATTCTAGGAATCAATGGCTGGAGACAATAGGTGACATGGCTCAAAATCGTTGTCAATGGCGCAGATGTATTCAGTCCCTGTAATCTTTCATATTCCTTTCTACCGTTACCCATTCTGTTTCACTCTTATACTTGTCAAACTCTATTGATTCTCTTCACTCGTCTTCTTGTCTACCTCTGTGTGCAATTTGGAACGTGGCAACTGGAACTGCTGCACTTCGGTTCCAAGTTCTATGTTGAATCGAGATAGACGGAGATGGCCTTTTACTGCTTATAACAATAACTTCTGATGACAAAAGAAATTTCAGTGTTCATTCTCTTAATGGAAATTGATTGGTTTTTTTTAAACTATCAATAACCCTCACTGTTACTAAGAAGTAACACCAGTTTCTGTTTGGGATTCAGCATCGCAATGAATCGAGGACAATTACCAGTCAGACAAAATATGTAACACAGGAAAGTTATACATATTCGAATAAAACTCATGATGTGATCAATTGGTTTAAGCACTTTATTTTCAGCCAATGCGTCACGAATTCCGGCGCCGCCACACTTCAGTCTGGGCAACTGGGTAGTATCACCACCCACTACACGGCAAATTTGGCTTTAGACCTATGATGTGAAAAATCTGTTTCGGTTAACTGAGCTTAAACAAAACAATAAAACTCATGAGTTTTGAGTCAATTTTGCACTACAGAAACAGCAAGTGGTGCTGCATTTTTTCAAAAATATGACTTAAAAATGTGTCCTGAATGCGATAAAACTGGAGAAATGTAGTATTCAGAGTACGCTAGTGAGCGCATAAGAGAATTTTGAAAGTTATGTGAGTATCTTGATACAATTATGAGCAATAAATTGTGCTTAAAACATCAGATGTGAAACTTTATCAAAATAGGTTTCATCCACAATAGAATTACACTCTACTAAAGTGTACAAGTTTTATTCTCATTCACAAGTTTTGATTGCGTCTGACCGGTAAACAATCTCAAAAAGAATTTCATTATCGTCAATATATACATACATATTAATCTCGCTTAGATTACTAGCTCGATAGTTTTCTAGCCGGTCCCAAACCCGGATAAAGAGCGAGGGTTGGGGCGTGGTGCTAGCAACCCCACCCCCAAAACTTAACCAACATGCTACAGAAACTTCAACGTATAAATACATTAAAAATACTATACTGTCAAATACCTTAGAAATAGAAATACAGATCTTCTGAAATCAACACCTTCCACTGATTCACGAATCTCTAATAAAGGTGCTAATACATCCAGTATCCCGTGGGGCATGTTATGCATTTCGTCAAAAACAAATATTGATGTGGGGCATTCTGAAACAGCTGCATGCAACTCCCGATAAAGACGTTCCTGCAGGGAAAAAACATATGGTAGGAATCACAGAATCATCTGTATTTTTATCCCACTGAATCGTTGTGCACATTCCAATTAACTAATTATAATTACTTTCAAGAGTTGATTTATAAGGATTAGATTTGTCTTTACGATTTTGACCATGGATTGATATCAGCTAGGCAACTATCGAAAACCAGGGAGTACTGGACAGCTGATTCATCCAATGATTCCCAAACTAGGATGAAACAGATGTCCACTACTACTTTGTTTTCGATGGTTCTCTAACTGATATCATTCCGTAGTTAAACTCGTAAAATCAATTTAAAATTATACTCTAATGGTTGTTTGCACGCAAAGATAACTAAAATCGAAAGCTTATCACTGTATAAACAACCATTGAAATATAATTATAATTAACTGGTGTATTCAATAATGCAAAAACTTTCCAGAGATATCAGTTTATGTTTCCCTCATCGTGATACTTGGATGACTCACGTTTACATTTCTCTTCAATCGGAGTCTATCACTAGGGACGCACAAAAAATCACAGGTAACTGAATCAGATTAGATATTCTCCTGAGTTAATTTAAAAGTTCAATGAATTTGCAGACATTTAAACTTCAAAACCAAGAAACAGGATTGACATTTCTTTTATCGATACACATACACAAAAACTAGAACATCATACATCAAGTCATACCCACTGTACAGGTAGTTCAAAAGTCTAATTGTTCCAAATACGTTGACCGATGCAATAAATTACTGACTCTATAGTACAGACAGTTTGTTGCTATAATTATTTAAACACAATCAACATACAGTAAAGACAAAAACAGCTGTGCCATAGAGATAAGTAGAACAACAATGTTAAGGAAACAGTCATGTCTGCTAACATCTAAAGCAACTGAGTCGTAAGGTCTCTCTTGTCTAATCAAGGAGCTACGATATACCAACAGATGGTGCTCTTACACAACCACTTCATGTCTACAGAGCCACGTCATGGGCTTACATCTCCATTTTTCTCAACAAGCGCCAGACCAAGAAGTTAATGGCATGGGTGACGCCATATTGACACTGGTGAACCAGTTCGGTAATGAACACTGTGTATTTGCAATGGCCGTTCATTTCTGTAGGAATACTTCTCGTTAGGTGAAGACAGTAAACAGAAACTACCTATTAATTGTGATGGCTTGGTCACATATCAGCATTTTAGGGGAAAGGCTGCAGTCTACTAGCTTTTCGAGTACCAGGTGATTTCATGTAGTAAAATAAGTATCACACTAGTGTAAAGGTTGGAGATACTACTCAGTCGCTTAGGCTAGAATAGATAGAGAGGGATTCAAACCTTAGACCCGTCGCCTGAAGGTCAAGCACTGCAGACAATGAGCCACATTCATATTCAATAATAGCAGGGTAAAAAGAAACTAATAGATAGGGAATTCAGGAATAAACAAGAAAAAAAGTGAGTTGCAGCGAACAAATAAAAGGATCTACTGACTTTCTCCTTTGGCTTTCGCTCACTCAGTTCTACATCAACTTACGAAACTTCTAAATGGCTCTTAAGTTTAAAAGGTACAAACTAAATGGTTATTGTTTTACTTCAATGTATGATTTATAGTCTCCTATGATTAATCATATGTTTTTTTCAGTACAAAAGTTGTGAAACACGAGTCAGTGACTTTATGGATGAGTCATTCATTTACATTTGTGAAGTCAGTTAACTTCTAAAACAAAAAGTGGAGATGTTTGCTCAGCTAACCTTATAAACTGGTTAAACAGATATTGTAGATTAGGGAAGGTAAATTACACAACTGAATGCACAGTGAACAGTTGTACCACTAGCATCATATTTTTAATGATGTAAGTTTAGCGAATACGACTGCTTATACAACCGTCTCCTAAATGTTCTTGGTGCCAAAACAAAGCATACTCACAAGAGAGCGAGTATTTCTTTCAACACAGCACACAGTCGGTTAACTAGAACTTTATAATAGTTATGATGAAACCTTTGGCTTTCCCTCAGAATATTTGAAACCCTTTGTTCAAATGGTGAAACGTAATTACGTCGCATGAATTCATACGAAAAATATATTATGAATAATATATTTTTCGTTAGTGGAATGTAAGCGAATTTGAGACGAGGTCAAAAATGAAAAAAATTTATAAACCAGACATGTCTGGTTTATAAATTTTTTTCATTTTACATCGTACATCATAAGTCTGATGTCTGTTCTACGATTGTCAAAATTATTAATGTAAAAAATTTTTGGGCCATATTGAATTCTATCTTACCAAATTTCACACCATGTTATGTAGCATTTTATATCCACCTACTAATCCTACAATTTTGCACCCCTTTCCAACATCTATACACCTCAGGTATTATTCTATATCTGACACTGATTGTATTGCTACTTTACATTTAACTATGATTAGAATTACAGATATTTTATTTGCATTTCATACCATTATTATTATATAATAATAATGGTGTGAATACATAACATGTTATGTGACAGATTGTGTTGATTCACATATGAAAACATATACTTGCTGTAAGGAAAATGTTAACAATTGTGATTACAATTTAATTGGTGGACTGTGATCACAGTTTACATGTCATCCCTTTTCACATTTAACAGACTGATATTTGCCTAGAAGTATATAAGCAGTACTCCTCACATACAAAGACCATTCTTACAGGATTTATAAATCATGCAGGTGAGTTAGATTTTGGGTGCATATTTGTCCATTTCTATTATAAGGAAAACAACTCAGATAATGTGTTAAATACGGGTATTCAACATTCTGCAACAAGTCGTAAGAGAAGAATATCTTCTGGCAGACTGCATGAATGCTTTGGATACAGCTACTCAACATTTTATCGCCGTCAAAAACGGTTACGTGATGCAGCATTCAGTGACTGGGACTTCTGGAAACGTTACTGCTCATCCAGAGAAGAGGTGGCAAGGGATAATACAGTAACTTTGCCTTAAAGTTCAACTGTACAGGGAACAGTGGGTTTACCTAGTACTAGTGAGACCGTCGCTGTTGTTTGACAAACTGAAAAGAATCGTAACATTTATTATTATGTAATAATTAATTTCAATAGAACTTCAGGTTGTTCCTGAAAAGATGACACAAAAAGAGCTGGTCAGAATTTGGTAAGTTGGCATATTTCATTATCACCCTTCTAGATACGTATGAGAATTGTAAAAAGGGTGTTGAGCTTTTGACAAACAATGATCAAGACACCAAGAAGGTAGGCATGGACGATGATACGTTGCCAATGCCTAGTAATAGACCTAAAAGGTAGGTACCGTTACCTGTGTAACACATTTTTCAGGGATGCCAAGAAAACTGAGAAGAATTTCCTTTACAACTCTATGGATATTGATGTAGCCGCCAGTGAGGTTGGTTGCATAAAACCACAATATCCAGAGTATAATATATTGGATGACTTCGTGGCCCCAAATCCAAGGTTTTAACCTATTTGAAAGCCCTTCATTTTCAGTACTTCCAGTGCTCCCATATTTCATTCATCTCCTATTGGCAAAAAGTCATGTGTGTGACCGTAGGGAAAAATTGTTACAATTTTTATTTATGCTGTAGATTGCCGTTTAACGAAGATGCTACTAAATCCACAAATAAGAAATTACTCGGTAATTACTTAAAAATAATTATTTATTTAAAGATACAAATATGGAAATCATTAACCTGTGCACGAAAATATTGAACATTATGACTACTGACAGAAAATCTCGACAGCAAACGGTGACTTAACACTGGAGTTTCCGCTCGAGAATGAAGACCAGTTAGAGATGCTGGAAGCATCTTTAAGAGACGAAAAGTACAAACAGATATAGTGAGTTGACATATTTAATTCTTATTTCTTGTAGACTGCTAAGATGGCTAGCTGCCTTCAGAGTGATCCAAAGTTATCACTTAAGGTCATGATGCACCATGTTATAAAACCTGAAGTGGGTTTGAAGTTTACATTCCAGGGGACTTTGACAAAGTCAAGCATTGTGCCTTATGCCTTTTATAAAATAATGAGATGTAAGTTTCATTAATGAAGTAATTAGTTCTCTAGCTTTAATTATGTCGCACTTCTCCGGCCAACTAATGACGACGAGAGAGATTGGTTACGTGATGGATAGGGCCACGAAATCGTACTTTCATAATTTGAAAGATCGTGTCCAAAGACGTAAGCGGAAGCAAGGAATTCAGGTAATATTGCGAAACGCCTGCTTACTTTTATAAGTGAACGTTTATTCAACATGTAGTAATCACAACATTGTTTTAATTTTTAGGCAAATGAAAAAGATACCGGGGGATATAACAGTGGCACTTATGTAAGTAAACTTTCATAAATGTAAATGCTCAGAATGTGCTCAGCACAATTTTTCACCCACTAATATTTTATTTTGCTTATTTGCAGGATGCTACCAGTGGATCGCAATTGACGGGATTGCAGTGACATTGTACTACAGTTTATCAATACAAAAGTCTCTTAATTGTAAAAACTGATTTTTTTCTGAATTGCGCAGGCGTAGGACACAGGTGCTGATAATAAGTAGAAGTCTTTTCGTTCTAAGGTAAAGCGAGTCAGTGCTTAATACGATCTGCGAAGGCTTGAATTAGGCTGAAAACATTTCCATTATGTGCTGAATTAAGTCTTTTCGTTCTAAAGTAATGCGATTCAGTGCTGAAAATGATCTGAAAGGGCTGAAATAAAGCTGATAAGCAAACCCAGTAGGTTCTGATCTACTCCAGACAATGCTAAAAAAAGAATACGGTGCTGAATTAGCGCTAGTCATGCTGAAAACTAGCACTGAGTTCTAGTCTGTGCCATTAAACAGTTCATTTCAGAACAAATTCAGAATTTACTCACTATAGGATGCTAGAATTATTTCAGAATTACTGAGATTTAATTCAGAATTATAGTAAGCTTGGGAAGAGACTAACCTTATATTCTGAAATTTGACTCGCGTGTTTGAAATGTATAGTTGTGTCATAGAAGTGATAAAATCGGCTGCGTGTGCCTAATCGCAAGATATTGTTTACGACAATATTGGAAACGAAATTTTTCCCAACACCTGTGTAGCCATGGAATGATAACGCGAGGGGTTTTTGTGGCATTCCGTCATTCATGTAATCCAGAATATGATGGTATACACGTTCTGCCGCAATATGTTGGCCATGTAACTCATGCCTCAGAGACCGCTCTAAACCTTGAAGAATAAAACAGTTAAATTTACTAACCTGTTTTGTTAAATGATACAGCTCCGGAACAACATTCATAAAACAAACAACTGATACGTTCTTTATACAATACTCCTGTTAGCGCTACTGAGAATGGCACTAAGGCAACAAATGGGAAGGCATCACAAGCAGAGAGCAAGAACAGTAGCAACACGTTGCAACGCATGCATTCAGTCAGCCCGCTTATGCTTCTGGAAGTTTTAACTTCACTGGGTTTGAATAGATAGCTGAAAGCCGCAAAGTTTGACCTTAGGCAGCAAACAGTGACGAATACATCAGTGAACTAGGAAGAGGCCATGGCACTTGAAAACAAATTTGGTTTCCTAAACCTAACCCTAACAAAGTATAGTAATATTTCAATAGGTTACACACCGTGATAAGTTTTGTTATTGGTCTGACAACAACATACTTTACATTTGAAGGGAAAATGTACCATCAAAATGAAGGAGTAGCTATGGGAACACCTATCTCACCAACAGTAGATGACATATTCATGAATTTTTGGGAAGAGAATGCACTTAAACCATTGAGGTCATCAATAAAACGTTGGTGGAGATACGTAGACGACACGTCAGTAATAATGAAAGAAACGATTCTGAAGAATTCTGCTCGCACATAAACAGTCATGTCGACTGAATAAAATCCACAATGAAAATCGATAATGAAACTGGGGAACTGTCTATGTTAGACTGCAAAATACAAAGAGTAACAGATGGTAGCATAAAAGCCACGGAATATATAAAAATTACACACTCGGGAAGATTTCTTGATTATCCCTCGGTTCATCCACTCACGGTAAAACGACGACTAATACAAGGTCTCACAGACAGAATACGCAGAATTACAACAGCATCAGAGGACCAGCGCAAGGAAATAAACGTCCTATTCAAAATGCTACTCGACAACAACTACCCAAAAGAATTTGTCAAAGACAATATAAAAAGAGAAAAATCGGTAAAACGGGAGAATGAGAAGACGGAAAAAACAGTCACAATACCATTCAAAAATGGTACATCAGAGGCGATTCGAAGAAACCTCAGAAATTTTAGGATTTGTACGACGTTTAAACTGACGAATGTACTTAAAAATTAAATAAATCAACGGAAAGATCCCATAAAAACGATCGATAAAAACAATGTGGCTTATAAAATGTCTTTTGCCGAATGTCCGACTATGTGGGCCAAGCGTCATGACCACCACAAACAAGGGTGAATGGACTTAAAAACCTGCATAACCAAAGGTCATTATCGCACAGGAACACAGGCTTACAAGTATATAAGAAATTGAGTGACTTTATTGCGTATCCCCGCTATGATGCTTGCTGCTGTGGGTTTCAAGTGGCCCTGGTTTTGGGGGAAGATTTAATCGATGTCATATTGCGATTTCATAGACATAACTTAGACTCATAGGTGAAAGAAAGTTATTATCCTGGAATAAGGACAAGTTGTTCAGAAGGTAAGGAGGACATTATTTTTCAGTTTATTCCTATTTATACCATTGCACATCGAGTCGCACTACGGTTCCACATGTAGCAAAAGATTATGAATACCTTGCTCCTCTCTCCTGCATAAGAAAGTTACTTCACAAGATTCGCTATATTAAGCACAGTAAGGACAAATATAAATTTGTGAACTATGTAGGCCCCTAAAGTAATTCGTTTGGCATGCATGCTTCATAGGGAAATCAGGGGTTTGCATGTTGTACTAAATCTTCTGCGCTTTATGTATGGATTCGACGTTCACCAAGTGGTCATTTAACAACTGCTGAATGCTGCATGCGCTCAGGCTAAAATTATGGCTGGTTATTCCAAGGACCGTTGTCGTTTTCATTAGCAGCAGTCCACAGCCTATTGAGTTCACACAAATACAATAGCCATTTCTTACTTTACTGAGGAGACATTAACTAGGATTCTGGAAAGATAGTACGTCAGTATATGAATTTCAGGAATCTGTAGATTGCATTCCATTCACTTAATAGTGAAACTAAACTGTGACGGAACTAATATTTCCAAGAAGGATATAATACAAGGCTCGTTTCTACAACTGTCATCCTTATTTTAGTTCACTTTCATCATACTTACTAGGGAACAGTCTCGTCAACGCAGTGTATTCTGATTATGTTGTCCACTTAGGCTGTGAGAAGTGATCACTGAAACTGGAAGATATGAAAAGACTACCGGTTTTTGATTGCAGTGTCTGTGCCTTTTCTTCTGTATTAAGTAGTCTATTTTGGTGAGTAATATTGGGGTTAACCTTACAGTGATAAGTAGAAACGTGGCTCCAAACGTCGTTAATGACACAGATGCATTCACTCTGTGCAACCTCACATATCTCAGCAACCCTTATTTTTTTCATATGACTGTTCGTTTTCCATCACATTAATACTCAGAGTTCCATTTAATTCCTTTTTTCTCTACATTATTATGCTACATGGAATGCGATAACTTAAACGGGTCCACTTGTGTGTAAACTTCCTTGTTGAAGTTAGATAGAATGACATATACTCTAGGTATAACGAAGTGTTAAAAAGCGGACAAAAATAACCGAAATGTCAAGAGGTGATAATCGCATTTCTTCACTTGATTCTTCTCTACTTAAAGAAAGAGTTATCTTACAATAATTTCTCCTCTAAAACGAGAGGAACCTTAAAGTCTCGTTATATCTCATGAATTAGGTTATATCATAAAGTAGCCCAAATGCGAAGTCGAAACACATTTGACGAAATAGGACTTGCTTACTACCAACTGTAAGCAAACAACCAGAAACTGTCAATGTCCAGGTCTTACTACACTGGAACTCATGCTATCCCTGGAGGACTTTAGGAAACAATTTGTATCACCAACGCGAAAAACCAGACAATAGAATCGCAACTCGAGAGACCTTTAAAATAACGCCAAAATGTAATCAAAAATAAAATTATTACACAAGGTCTAAGAATAAATGTTTTAACAATAAATCACAATAATACTTCTTATAGTTTTCTGTCTTCCAACGAACAACGAACTATAAGACAATGACTGTCGGATTGGTGATTCCCGCGAAAATATGGGGAAGTTGGGTTTGAGCAAACAACCATGAATTGATCGTTCAATCTTCAACTACATTGACAGCAGCTTTGGAATACAACTCCTTTAACTATTTAGCTAATCTGGTATATATTTGTCCCTTCTCAACGTCAATTTCCCTGTTATGTCCATTAAGTCATAAGAGCGCTTGTGAGTTAATCAGGATATTATAGGAAAGCATCCACGTAGGTACACAGCTAATGATTAGATAAAGCGAAGAAAAGATAACCACCATTCAAAGAGGTGCCTACAGTCAACGATTGAAAAGTTCACCCCCACCTCAAAAGTATGGTGGAGGTATGTAGATGACACATTCACTGTCAGTCACGTCTCATAAACCGTTAATGCCCAGCTCTTGCTACGCTCGGGCCCACGCTATTCCTTGCAGTTTCTCAGAAACGCTTAGTTATAACGGACGAAAAATCCAAAACACCGATTGGCCGCTTGAGATTTCTTTATTGTTACACCAACATATAAAAATAATCACTGAACTAAGGTCTGTGAACAAATATTACAATAATAAATCATAAGATTACTTCTGACGACGTTTTACTCTTCTTTCTGAACAGCGACCGATGAGACGATGACTGTCGTATTGATGCCTCCGCGAAAATTGGGGAAGTTGGGTTTGAGCAAACAACCATGAATTGATCGTTCATTCTTCAACTCCATTGACACTCCCCGGCAATAAAGGGATCCAACCCTTTTTTCCTTCACGACCAATACACGTTGACTTGGATGCCATTGCGAGAACCTGGGTCACACGGACAGAGCTGAAATGGAAAACAAACAGAAAAGCCAACACACCACAAGCATACCCACAGTACAATCTCACACATCGCTGACGACCTGCGCCTCCAGACAGAGACCTCCTCTTGACATCTTGCAACAGAATCGCCACTTGCTAGAATGACTCTTGCAGAATGCGACGTCACCATAGCACCACCTCACGATACTCTACGCACATCCCCTTATCTACTCATTACGAATTACCACTGCAATCGCTTGTCACTCATTCTGCCTCAGTTCTAATAGCGGTGACGCATGCGAGCCTCAGTCGTTTACACTCTTTCTCCCCGGCGTGTCGGACTGCAGCTAACAATTATCTCCGTATGCATTTCGTTCTCAGCAATAGCCTAGCCTCTCCGGCGTATACGACCCATCTGCTGTCTCTAACATCAATCAATTCATTCACGGATGTAGAAGACAAGAAACAACTTCAGAATTAATCACGACGAAAGTTTTAACAAAATTACACAATAACAACAAGGTACGAAAACAACGAATAAACACAATGAATCCAAAAACACCAATTGATATGACACACCACACCTATATACAAACAGTACAAACAAACTCGCAGATCGTGTCTCCATGTAATTCCTTTGAAGAATCGCAGGACTTACACCAGTACGCCTACAACCCTTCACAGGTTGACGATTGTAAGTTGTGGAATGCCCGGACACAAACAAGATTAACCAACAATACAATAATTGGAACTGACAAAAGTATTTAACACAAACATAAGTACAATCAACACATCACATGTTGTGGATTCTGGCTTGACGAACCACCCTTGAAGAACTGTAGGACTTACAGCAGTACGCCTACATTCCTTCTCAGGTTGATGATCCAAAAGAAAGTCGTCCGGACACAAACAGAATTACCAACAGCTAGATGACATATGATATCAATTCAGTATATACAATATGAACATATGTACAAAATCACACACCAAGCACATTGGACTGCTCATTGATGCGCTGCCCTTTGGAGAATTGTAGGACTTACAGCAGTACCCCTACAACCCTTCACAGGTTGACGCCCTAGGTTGGAAAATCGTCGCAGAGTTCATTTGCTAACTTCCTTCTATGAGCTATATCCTCAAATCTGAACGGTAACACGCCCATGTCATTGTATCGCAGAATATAGATGACCAACAAACACACGACATATCTCATCAACCAAGTGTAGAAACAGAGTAATTCACACCAAAGATAATAGCATTCAAATAGTAACTTGAAACTAGAAATGCCTTTATTCATGCAAGTCAATTTAACAATTACTCTCTCGTTTACACTTGGCTTATCCTCACTAAACTGAGCAATATCTTTCGTCTTTTCAAACGCACCAATACTATCATAGTCATTGCAGAAGATACTTAAGTTGATGGGCATCTGTTTCATTGTGGATGAAAACACCAACGATGACTGAGTGACACAAGGTGATGAACTTATCAGTGGATCAGAAGCTGTTCTTTTTCGGCTTTCAGATAGTTGTCCAACTGCAAGATTACCACCACTGCTGTCTTTTACTCTCAGCTCAGGTTTAGCAATAGCATCT